ACATGACTAATGAATTAAATTTATATACATATTAATGTAGAATCTATGCCTTGATATTATTGATATTTGAATGAGTTGTATGAAAATTTACGTAATTGTATATAACATTCATTCTATGTAGAAAAGGATTTAATTAGAAGAGGTCATAATTTTTAGGAATAAATTGAAAAGATATGAAATTTGAGGATTAAATTATGCAGAATCCAAAAGTAAGGGGTCGAGACTGTAATTTTACCGTTAACAAAATTTGCAGAGAAGGACAAAAACCCGACACGGACTCTTCAGGACAAATGCAGGAAAAGTGTCGGCACCTTGTTGAGGGTGTTGACACCTTGCAGCTCGTGCTGCATATCTTTTAACTCATGCTCGTCCTCTGCACTTCGTGTTCAAGTTCTGCACTTCATGCTCGGCCTCTGCAGCTTGTGGCTGACCTTAGCAGTTAAGTTTTTGACCTCTACAGTTCGTGGTTGAGCTATGTAGCTTGTGTTTGAGCTTTGTAGCTCATTCTCAACCCCTGCACTTCGTGCTCAACCTCTGCACTTCATGCTCGGCTTCTGCAGTTCGTGGCTGACCTCAGTAGTGTTTGAGCTCTACAGCTTGTGCTCAAGTTCTGCACTTCGTGCTCGACCTTGGCAGCAAGTGTTTGAGCTCTGCAGCTGGTGGTTGACCTCGGCAACTTGCAGCTCATGGTCCAGCATTTTGCACCTCGACATTTCGCAGCTCGTGCTTCAGCATCTCGCACCTCGGACTTGTGCAATTTGTAACTTGGACTTCTGCAATTCGTAGCTCGTGCTCGAGCAAGACATTTGTAGCAGCTCGTGCTCCAGCATTTCGCAGCTCGTGCTCAAGCAAGATGCTTGCAGCTCCTCATTGTCGAGCTTGAGTAATGGAGGCCAGCCGTAGTCTGCTCGGCCATAGTTGCTTAGTCTTCTTCTGTTAGTGGAACCATAGGCTCCTAGCAGCTGATTGGATTCCTACTTAAGTGACAATATTGCTAAGGCTTCTTCCCGAATTGCCCGAAAGTACTTACTTTCTAGCCAGCTACGTACCTTCAAAATCAATTTTCATTAATTACATATATGTGAAGTAGAAACCAAAATGCAAAGTTATAAAGGCAGAAAACCAATATCTAGAATCGAATCCTTTGGAAGGAGAACAGTAAAATCCAAAAGCTAAAAAGAAAAAGAAAAAAGATTATGGAGAAATTAAAATCTGGGGGAAAGAAAAAAAAAAAGACTTTTGAGTAGGTCTTTAGAGGGTTGCAAAAATGTAGTAGATTTTACTTCCTAAGATCTGGTGAAACTTGTGCAAATGGTTGCAGAAAATGAAAGAGATTTTATTCAAAAATGATGCAATCTTAGAAAATATGGAGTAATGGAGAAAAGAATGAAGGCAGTGAAAGTGGTGGACGCTGGAAAAACAGTTGTTTGTGTAGTGAAATTAAGCAGTTGGTTTGCTGAGAAAGGCTAAATGGTGCTGGACTGCCTTGCTTCTGCCGAGCTGGTGCACTGCTTTGAGCTTTGCCGCTGCCGAGCTAGACTGCTTTGTTGCTGCCGAACTGGACCGTTTGGTTGCTGTCGAGTTAGGCTGTTGTGCTGCTGCCAAGCTGGTGTGTTGCTTTGGGCTTTGGCACTGCCGAGCTGGACTGCTTTGTTGCTGCCGAGCTGGACCGTTTGGTTGCTGTTGAGCTAGGCTGTTGTGCTGCTGCCAAGCTGGTGCGCTGCTTTGGGCTTTGGCGCTGCCGAGCTGGACTGCTTTGTTGCTGCCGAGCTGGACTGCTTTGTTGCTGCTGTGCTTGGCCGCTTTGCTGCTACCGAGCTGGGCTGCTTTGCTGCTGCCGAGCTGGAGCATTGCTTTGAACTTTACCGCTGCCGAGCTGGGTTGCTCTACTGCTGCCGAGCTGAACTGCCTCGCTTCTGCCGAGCTGGAGCATTATTTTGAGCTTTGCTGCTGAGCTGGGTTGTTGTGCTGTTGCCGAGCTGGGATG